ACTACACACACTGATAGGTTTAGGGTCCATTCTTCCGCGACAATAGCATCTAGTTCTTCCAAATTAAAAGTACTTCTTTCTCTTACTTTTTTCTTCAAATATGCCCATAAATTTTCTATCAGGTTTAGGTCAGGACTGTTCAGGGTACATCGATGCCTTAATTCTGCTGTTATCTAAGTATGTTATGTTGGTAAGTCCAGTGATGCCGCTAAGACACCTTTCATGCACTTTGTTTTATATAATTTCTCAGTCAAATTCTGCTCTTTATCCATGATAACGTGTACCCTCCCTAAGGTCTAAGCATCAAAACATCCCCAAAGCATAATGCTCCCATAATGCGTCGGTACAGAAAATTAAACACCATTTCTTTGAAAAAAAAAAAAAAAAAAAAACGTACAAAGTCAATGTAAAATAAATGTGTCGAACTCGAATTCAAGCCAAACGAAAACCAGCATTAAAGAAGAAACAGAAAGAAATATGGTTAAAGAGGTTTATTGTGTTGGTGATTGGATGAAAATTATATTCGATAATAAATTAAAAATCAGTATTGGCCAAAGCAATAATGCTGGGACATTTGTCTGATTCCCATAATTTTTTCACAGTATTCGGCCATTTTATATTTTCCGGTGGCACACTCAGATTAAAATATTACCATTACGTTAATTAAATCTATCTATCTATCTATCTCTGTCTCTCTGTCTCTCTCTCTCTCTCTCTCTCTATATATATATATATATATATATATATATATATATATATATATATATATATATATATATATATATATATATATTTTCTCTTCGTTGGAAACATTCAATTAAATATTCTAATAAACACACTCAGATCTACTCCACAATTCGTTTTTCAATTATGGGACGACACTCAATAATTCATATTTTCTTAGCGTGGAATAGTTTTGATAAAAGACAACATACTGGAATTTAATGGGTGAGGATTTCTCTCACTATTCAGGGAAAATTTTCAGTCTTGATCATTAATCGTTACACAACAATCTGTTATTCTTAATGTTGGTCTGGTATGAAAAGTATATTTGGAAATATATTTCTTACTAATCATGCTAAATCAACATCTAGTATATTTTATTGCATAACATAATATACAAAATCATTTCATTATATGTATTTAATGTTGAAACAATGATATATGATTCGAGAAAGAAAATAGAGCCCAATGCTATAATAATAATAATAATAATAATAATAATAATAATAATTATGAAAATTTTCGTTAACCTGAAATATGGATTCTGTGATAAATATCCAGAAGCAATTGACCATCTTGTATCAGATTGGACAATGTTAGCCCGCAAGGAATATAAAACGCGACATGACAGAGAGGGCTAATATCTCCACTGGAAAATATGCAACTTTTACGGATAGGAAACTGCAAGAAACTGGTATGAACATCACCCAGACCCGGTTATAGAGATAGGACCTGTAACAATTCTATGGAAGATTAAAATACATACAGGCAGAACAATCAAAGCTAATCGTGATCAGAGACCACAAAAACAAAATGTGCTTCTCATTGAGATACCAGTTCCTGCAGATTGTAATATATCTTTGAAAATCTTCAAAACACTATCAAAATAAAAGGATCTTAAAGTGGAAACCTCAAAAATTTGGCACATGAGGACATCAAAAAGTTGTAGTTGTAGCTCTCGGATTGATTGAAAAAGGTTCCCATAGACGCATTGAATAAATTCCTGGTAGTGCAAGAGTTAAAGAAATACAAATGATTATGCTGACAACTACAACACACACCTTATGAAGGGCTTTATATATGTAAAATGTGTGTAATTTTAGTTGTTGTTTTTTTTAATCACAGTGGAAAATATCATGAAGCCATTACCGACTTCAGGCATTTGGTTGGGACTCAAAGGAAATCAAATAAAAAAAATAATAATAGCTTCAATAATAATATTAATAATGATAGTTTTCGATATTAATTGATTTGAAGTGTGAGCATGTAAATGTTTGGTGTTGGTAAATTAAAATGGTCTACAATAAATATCATGTTCACTACCACAAATTTGCTTGCTAGGTCCCTTAAGTTATCTACTTAGGCATGTTTCCCCGGGGGGTGATGCACAGTGTATCTCTGTTCATGTGTGTTACTGGTGGGAGGAGATCGCGGCTGAGTGTGGAGAGGATTGTTTTTTTTTTTTTGTTTTTTTCTTTCCGTTTGATGGATGTGACAACTAAAGCAAATTGGGAATCAAATCAAGATACAATTTGAAAACCATTAGCGTAAACGGAGTTATCGAACATGAAGGTATTTCTAACTACGCCCCGTGCAACGTTATACTCTGCTTTGATCAAATAATATATATATATATATATATATATATATATATATATATATATATATATATATATATATATATATATACACAGGGATTTGATCAAAGGTTCATAACGCTTTTTCAGTGAATTTCGTAGTCAATATTTAGATATTTTATATTTATTCAAACATATCTCCGACAATTTTATTCAATACCTTTCGCCATCTTTGAGGCTGATTCATGCTTTCATACTCCAAGAACGACGAGGTTAAAATATTTCATATACAAATAAAGTTGAAGTATACGTGGAAATCTTATTTGCTATTTCCGTTTTATCTAGAATTTAATTTTTCAGTGTTAGAGAAAAATCGAATTTAATTTTACCTGACTTGGAACTGAGACCGTATTGAGTGATATGCATATAACTCTGTCCATGTTTTCTGCTGTCATTTCTAAACTTTACATGCGGATTCTTACAAAGTATGTGGATTTAAAGGTATCCTTACAGTAGTCTTTAAGAAGTGTGCTCCTGAAATGTCTCCTGTTCTCTCTAAACTCTACAATAAATACATTGCTACTTATTGTTTTCCTGCTTTCTGGAAATCCTTTTCTGTAGTTCCAGTCTTTCAAAACTCAGACGAACCATCTGATGCTTCTAACTGTCGGCCTTTAGCCTTCTACCTCAATTTGGCAAAGTAATAGATGTTCTAATTAACTCTGAATTGGTTAAACATCTCACATCGCAGGGCCTTTTTGGGATAAGCAATATGGCTTTCACTTCTCTGGGTCAACTGCTGATGTGTTAATGATAATAGCTGAAAGAGTCTGTCAAGTTCCAGATAGAAATGGTGAAGCGTGGACTGATGTTTTGTATATGTCGAAGGCACTTGACTAGTTTGGCCTACTGTTTATCTTCACAAGTTGAAAGGTTATGGTTTTCTCGACGAATTTTTTAAAACTATTTTCTTCATTCTATATTACCAAACTGCGAAATAAAAATTATATTGAGTGGCCACTCATCTAGATCTTTTTGCATGACTATAGGCTTTCCCCTTAGACCTTCGTTGTTTCTGATTTTCATAAAGAACCTTCCTGATATCAGATCACAACTCGATATCTATGCTGATGAGATAACTATCGTATATACTCGCGTATCATGTAACCTCTGAAGACCTAATTTTGAAGCTAATTTATCTACAGTAAATGGATATATAGTTTAGTCGACGGTGTAGCCATGGCCAGCAGTATATACGCTAATTTTATATGTGTATGATGCGACCCTGCTAAAATTAGCTTCAAAATTACGTCTTCAAATGTTCCATGATACACGTGTGTATACAGTACGTACTCCTGTCTTAATACTTCGACAAGCACAGCCGATCTCATAAGTGACCTGCAATCTGTTGTTAAATGGTGCAAAGAGTGGTTTCATAATTTTAACCCCTTAAAAACGAAAATGCTTTCGTTTAATCATCTAAGAGAAGATTTTTCCCTTCCATCAGCATGGACGATGTTAATCTCCAGGAGAGTGATTAATTTGAGTTTTCTTGGACTAATGTTTTTAACTGATATGAAGTGGAAAGGTATATTGATTCGTACCTAGACTTTATCAATTTAAGATGGTGTAATGAATAGCGAATTCGAATCTCTGTCGTATCCATTACATTCGCTTACGTGCCAATACTCTTAGGAAATGTATGAATCCTCTTCTTCTCCCCACCTAGCTATGGGTAAAGGGTTAAGGTTATTAGGTCAGGTCGGTTTCTATATACTTAGATGGCAACTGGTCTACTACAGAAAGAAATGTTAACCTAATGCGGGAAAAAAATCTGCCTCTTCAGTCATGTATCGAAAGATACATGATCGCCTAAGCGTGTATCACTCATGGCACAGTGACTGACTGACTGACTAGATTGGCAGTCTCATCTTATGATTGTCTTTATAGTTGAAATGGTTAGATATAAACGTAAGTTCTATGTTAACAGTTTCTTCTATGGCTCTTAACACTTGTAGAATTCTCATCCGGCTTCCTGGTTAACTTTGATCGTCCAAAATTAAATGTAATGTCAATCAATATCTTCCGTTTTCTTATTTTAATTTATATTATTGTCCTTTATTCTTAATAGTAGTTTTTTTTTTTTAAAGATTTTAAACAGTCAATTACCCAATGTGTACAAATGTCTTTACTGTTTTTCTTGCGGTGAAATGATTAAAAGAAACAAAACAAAACTAAAACCAGTTTCACAATAGTAATTGTGATAAACATATATCTCTCTTACAATGAAAAGGAAAACGTAAAAAAGCAACATAAACGTTTCATAGCATGTTTTTATCTATCTATATATCTATCTATCTGAAACTGTTTCTTCCTTCCTATCAATCTATCTATCGATCTGTTTCTTTCTTTCTATCTTAAACGGTTTCTTTCTATCTATCTATCTATCTATCTATCTATCTATCTATCTATCTATCGTAAACTGTTTCTTTCTACATATCTATCTTAAACTGTTTCTTTCTATCTATCTATCTATCTATCTATCTATCTATCTGTTTCTTTCTTTCTATCTTAAACTGTTTCTTTCTATCTATCTATCTATCTATCTATGTATCTATCTATCTATCTATCTATCTGTTTCTTTCTTTCTATCTTAAACTGTTTCTTTCTATCTATCTATCTATCTATCTATCTATCTATATGTTTCTTTCTTTAAACTATCTTAAACTGTTTTTCTTTCATATCTATCTATCTATCTATCTATCTATCTATCTATCTATCTATCTCTATCTATCTGTCTATCTTAAACTGTTTCTATCTATCTATCTATCTATATATCAGTTTCTTTCTTTCTATCTTAAACTGTTTCTATCTATCTATCTATCTATCTATCTATCTATCTATCTGTTTCTTTCTTTCTATCTTAAACTGTTTCTATCTATCTATCTATCTATCTATCTATCTATCTATCTATCTGTTTCTTTCTTTCTATCTATCGAAAACTGTTTCTTTCTATATATCTATCTTAAACTGTTTCTTTCTATCTATCTATCTATCTATCTATCTATCTATCTATCTATCTATTTTAAACTGTTTCTTTCTTTCTATCTATCTATCTATCTATCTATTTATCTATCTCGTGTCTACTATCTTAAACTGTTTCTTTTTCTATCATCATCATCTAGTATGAACAGTTTATCATTATATTTTAAGCTTCTTTCTTTCTATATATCTTTTTATCTATATATATATATATATATATATATATATATATATATATATATATATATATATATATATATATATATCACTTGTGTGAATATTAAATCGGTTATAATTTTTTATATGTCATTAATTCTTTATAATTTACATGTAATTTACATTTATATAAAATGAAGCTGTTACTAAAACAATATAAAAATTAACATATATGATATATTTATTTATGAAAATTATATGAGGCTACATATATATATATATATATATATATATATATATATATATATATATATATATATATATATGTGTGTGTGTGTGTGTGTGTGTGTGTGTGTGTGATTGTGTTTGTGTGTGTTATTTTTTTCTGTGTGCGTGCACCTGGGTATTTTTGAATGATTTTAATTGTTTTTAATCCAATATTTTTATTGCTTCAAACGTTGAAGTTCTATGCTAACAGTTTCTTCTTTCGTACTTCTTACTTGTGGAACTCACTTCCGGCTTCTTACTTTCCCGACAACTTAGATCTTCCCTAATGTAAATACAATGCCATTCGTTATCTACTGTCTTCTTGATTCCTCTTTTTTATTGTTTTCACTCCCTAATAATGTTTTCTTTTTCTCATTCTTTCACATTCAGTAAACCCTTATGTCTTAGTGGCTTTATTGTCTTACTTGAAGTGAAATGATTAAAATAATTTGAATAAATAAAAATGTTTTTATCCAAGGGGTTAGAATCTTCACTTTCGGCGCATGAGACCCGATTCAAGTCTTGCCAAAGAAGGTCAATTTTTGAAGGATGCAAACAAGGAGGAGGTTTATACTTAACATCAAGGAGAGGCAGCTGAAGTTTCTGGGACACGTAATGAGAAAAGAGGGCTTGGAGAATCTGATACTCACAGGTCGAATAGAGGGAAAGAGAAGCAAGGGAAAGCAACGCATGATATACCTGGCAGGCTTGAACAAATGGATGACAGAACGTGGTCTATGAGAGGTGACAGAGAGACGAAACTTATTGAGAGCTACAAGGGATGGTTGAAGTGGAGAGCCATGATCTTCTACGTCCTGAAAGGATACGGCACATAAAAAGAAAGAAGACGCAACCACTTGGAAATCAGACATAGTCGGGACCCAGACAGACTGTTTCGCTGTATCACAGCTCATCAGTGTGGCCAGACGTCCGGTTGCCTCTAGCTAGGATTGAAACTCGACTGAATTGGCGTGGGGATTCTACCACGAAGCCGTTGGCGCACGGCAGAGAATAAAGTGAATTTGAACGTATTTATACTTAGATAAACACACAGTGAGAGAACTCGATTCGATTTACAGAAGTGCATTATTAGCCGTAATAGTCACTGTTTACAAACCCACACTTCCTCCGCAGAGAGCTCAACCGAAATATATTTTTCAGGAGCATATATATATATATATAATATATATATATATATGAGTGTGTGTGTGTGTGTGTGTGTAGGTAGTAATCCGTTGGTATAATCCAAGCGAATCCTATAAACACA